ACTCGAGTTGGGCGGAGGTAGTATAATTATTGGGTTTCTCTTAAGAATCTTAATTTTAGTTTCGTTGACATTAGTATAAGTACAGTAGTCTATTAAAATTATTGTGAAACTGTTTTGAAAAAGCAACTAAACTGAATTGCAGAATTTTCGTTGAAAATCTTTTCCTGTTTGTTTGTTTGTTTTCTTTTTCATTCTACTGATTCTTTTGAAACTTCTAATAAGAATAATAAATAAATCATATAAGACAATCTACTGTTCCATCTTTTAGCTCTTGTCTTAAACAGGACCCTGAAAGAGAATGTCTTGAATCGATCGTCCTATTCAGGGAAGGTACTTATGGATCTTTTCAGTTTCCTTATGCTTGAATCAGGGATCCAAGATCTCATAGACAACTCTGTGACTGATGACCAATCTGGCACAACTGAAAACCTTTTTTTTTTTTTTTTTGGGGGGAAGGGGAGGGTGAGAGAGATGTCGTTATTAGAATAAACTTACAAGGGTAAATTTTTGTCAGACGAAATAGCAAAGCAGAAAAAAAGTATAAATATCATCAAAATAATAATAATAATAAACCTCTTGAGAACTCTACATAGTTACATATTCCAGACCAATCACAGAACATAGAAATTTTTACTAAAATTAGCGTAATTCCAGATCACCCTGATCATTCTCTACATTTCATTAGAAATGACTGACGTTGCTCATAATTTTTGTTTCAAACTGTCGATCGCAAAATGAATATTGATACACGAAAATAAACTAAACGTATTTTCTCTTTCAGTTTATTAAACCCATTACTTTGTGTTAGACCCATTCAAATATTAAAGCACATTACATTGCTTTTTACTCTGTTTCACTCAACTATGTAGAAAAGCTGATAAACTATAGCTCATGTAGTGTATTTCTTGTTTGTGTATGTTTCTAGCTTAAAAGTCCACAGGCCTGATCTTCATTTCAGCTCTCTTAGCGGAGTAACTATGACCCTTCCATTTATCCCAGTTGATACCACGATGGGCAGACCCGACATGCGAACCGTGGTAATAGTAGCCGTTTAAGTTGGCACGGAGACAGTTGTTGTACCACCAAGCACTTTTATAGTATGCGGCACAGTTGCCCGAGTATTTATCATTGTCGCGATCTTTGGTGGAGAATGCCATGTTCCTATGAAAGCTCAAAGAATCCCCAGCAGTTCCTGAGACAAAAACACGGACAGTTAGCAAAAGTAGGCACAACACTAAACTTGCGGCTCCCCTCAAAGACGGGAGTTTAGGAACCATCAGAAAGTCCAGAAATTGTGTTACTTTGGAGAGAAATTGAATGTCAGAGTTTTTCAGTCTCTGATGATAGAAGAGAATGCAATAAGTTCTGAAAAAAAAAAAAAAAAACAAACAAACAAACAAAAACAAACAAGCAAAAACGAATAATCTACTGTTTTGGGGGATCTGGAGTAAATAACAGTTATAATAACCTTTTCTGTGACGCTGGGCTTATTGGTCTGTATAAAAATGAAAGAATCGCTCTAATTCGGCTGTATCTTTAGGAACCATATTAAGGGTAAAATAGACCAATCCACAGATTGTAGGCACTCACCTGTATACTTCCCAAGGCCAAGTCTGTATTTATTTCTTTCACTGGAAACAGAGAACATATCGTATTCAGCGTAAGCTATCTTTCCTTGTGTGTCTTCGAGTTCCACTCGCAGTCTACTCTTTGTTTTGGTCAGGCGGTGTACCTTGTCCAGTCCGAGCCAAAACTCACCATTTAAGTTTCCGAATCCACGTCTGAAGTCCGCCCAGCCGCGATTGTTGAAATCAACGGAGCCATCGAGTCTCTTCTGGAATACTGTCCACCCCCCACCTACAGATTTCTGGTCGCAAAACACATCAAACGCACCCAAACCATCGGGATCGATTGTGTAAACTCCTGTAATTCTTTCGCCGGATTTGTACAGCTCAGCGCAGTTTTTCATAGCTGTCGAGAGACATCAACAACTATAGTTAGCATGATAATATTGCAGCATGGATGAGTTGTAAGACGTATATACAAAATTGACAAAAACTCACCTGGTGGAGTTGTTTTGTTTTCCGTCAAAGCATCGATTTTCTTCTCTAAATCTGCGAGTTTATTCTCTATTTTGAGAAGATGTGCCTTGATGTCCTTATTTGCTGGCCCAGAATAGTAATTGTTGAAGTGAACGTTGTGGCACTTGCTTGATGTCGAAGTATCGGAAGTTTTGTTGGATGTGACTTGTTTTGATGTGCTGTTTACCCCGCTCAGTGTTTGAAAGATCGAGCTGCAACAGAGCAGACAAAATATGATATTGAAAAAATTCATCCTCGACCGAGAAAACTTACGTCCCAGCTGTTGTAGCAATATAATTTGCTCAACTTATAGGAAATCGTTATAAATACGTTCTTTTGACCACGTCAGTATACAAGCAGGTAGATTTTTCGTGTTTGAGTGACTGTCATAGACAAGCACTGCTTTTGTTTCGTCTTTCATACCAACTTCCACTTTTGCTTCAGGCTAAGTTGGTTATCTATGGTTGAGTGAGTTTATTTAAAAATGTTAGTTTTGTGTTTTGCACACTTCAAAATATTTTTCTCCCTAAAATGTTTTGTTATTACAATTTTCCCCAGCCTTCGAGAATCAATCCAGTTTTAATCCACGGCAGCTTCATGACGCAATGTTCGCAAAAAATTGAAATCTTACACATGCGCTTAATGAGATGCAACTACACGTCTGTTTGTCTAAAGAACCTCAAACGGGTAAATCGTCGCAGTTTTTTTTAACTTCTAACGGATTCTAAAAAACTTGCAAGTTCGAAGTAAGATAATTTGTGCAAATAAAAATGATAAACATGATAGGAAGGTCTAGAATGTATGGTGAGGTGTAACATTTACAAAGAGGACTAAGAGTGTTTGCAAAGCGTCTTATCCTAGCATCAACAGCGGCTCGCACCCAAGCGAGAGGTTTCAAGCCTCCTTTCCATTCCCTCTCGACTTGGGCATTGAACACGCCAAGGCAAACTTCCGGTCTAGGTTGAACACAGGATTCCATGGACACAGAGAGCTGAATTGCCTGTCAAAGATAAGCTAGACACTATTGAAGCGTTAACTCGAGTTTCTTTGGGGATTTTCGGTGAAATAAGTTAGCAATTTTACGTGAGAGGTCTTAATAACTAGTGAGCGTAGCCGGGGAGCACCTGGGCAAATTGCGAAGCCGCAACAGAAATAAAAACAGACAAAAAAAAAACGTGTGCTACGCCGCAGGTTACACAAACGCAACACCACGAGCAGTTCAAATCAACATTTACGACCCCTTGTACAATAGTACAAGCTGAAGCAGTGATCATTTCTGACATATCAAAACAACTGTTACTGATGGAGGTGCAGTTGTGAAACAATTCAAAATTTATCAAAACTGGTTACAAATCGTTTACAATTATTACCAGGTTGATACAATCGCATAATGGTAAGTCTTAAAGGTCAAATCAAATGACATCTTTAAAACCTCAAAACATGGTAAACCAGCTGCCAAATATGCTTGACATACACCCATATGGCAGCCACGTAGAAACGCGAAAATCAACTTCAGAAACAAGAATTTAAATCACTCACGCGGCGCGACAAAATATTTCCATAAATAAGTTTTGGACTATTGTCATTGTCAATTTCAAGACTTTGAAGCCCGTTTCTTTCCAGTTGCTCTTCGTTTGCGAAGAGCAACTGGTGTTCCATGATTGAGAATGGAGCAAAAAGAAGGAAAACCACCTGGGTGATTTTAGTGTACGGTTCTACAAAAAATTTCCATATTGATCGTTGGGGTTGTTGTCATCGTCGATTTTAAGACTTCAAAACCCTTTTCTCTCTAACTGAGCATTCTTACGCACATCTCCTCTTCGTTTGTAACTGGTCTATACAGATGTATTTTGATCAAGGATCAAGTGAAAAGAAGGAAAAACCACCTAAATCATTTAAGCTATTGGGACAGACGTCATTTCGAATTATGTTGATAACTCCATGTAATCAGGTTAAAAATTTCGGCCCTTACACTGCCCCCAAGATATCTGAGCAGAATTCAATAGCACGATATTGGGGACAGAACCAAACCTACTGAAAGAGGCTCGAAATTCTCATTCCCGGTTTTCCGCGTCTCCACTTCGGACGCTTGGAGAGACAATGTTGATTTGGCGACATAATAAGAAGGAAAAAAATAACGGCTTGCATTTTTATTCTCGAGTGTTCCTACGGAAGTTTGAGTTAAAAAACTAAATGGCAATAGAGTTCAAGAACTTCACACTTCAGTCAGATTAGCTCCATGGCTATGCCCTTTTAAAAATATCGGCCAGAATTCAAGTGCTTTTTTAAACAATCAAGAGTTTCGTTATGTTTACTATTTAGATATGAACTCTATGTACAATGTCTTGGAGCAAACCCTTTCTTTGTATTCAAAATCATATCCTTTGTATTCTAAAACATATCACTTAAATGTTGCATATGGTTTAAAAGAAGAACTTGAATGTTGAAAATAAACCTCGAATTTTGGCGAAGATTTAACGGCATACTTTACTACCTACCTCATAGTCATCATAACAACTTACCAGATGATCTCTTTAACGGAGGAACAACTTTCACACTTTTCCTTCATTAATAGCAGCAGATTATTTCTAAACGGAGTGCAGAATTGGAGACATAAGTAGAAGAGAGTACAATAGTTTACCCGATAAGGAGAAAGGTTGGTTGGGGAATCCATCCAGGGGAGTCTGGGGTGAAAACTCATAAGGAGAAATAACGCTCTTAAATGGGTTGGGTTGCTTCACTATGTCTGAGCTACAATGAATGATTTTGCGTGACTTCGTCCAAATCAACAGGGCTAAGCTCGCATGTCAAAGTAATACAGTCCCAAGTCAGAGGTTTTGTATGTATCGTATTTTCCTTGAAAAAACTATCATTTATTTTTGCTCTTCTGATTCTTTTCAAAATTCCAATAAATCATGTAAGATCTTTTTGGTTTTTAAGCTCTTGTGTTTAACAGAGCTGTGAAAGAAAAGGCCTATTATCGTCCTACTCAGGTAAGGTAGTTTAAAATTATTTTCCCCCTGAGCTTGGATCAGGGATCCAAGATATCACCAGCAACTCTATGACTGAGGATCTATCAGGTAAAACTGACAACTTTTCGAGAGGGGGACGGTGGTAAAGGTGTCACTATTTCCCTTGTTCAAGTTAGATAAGTTACAGGGGTAAATTTCATGTCTGACTGAATGGAGCAAAGCAGAAGGACGATATAAATATTAAAAAAATAAAAAAAGGAAAACTGCTGAGAACTCTTGTAAGACACAAGTTCCACAACAATCACAAAACATAGAAATTTCTGCCAAAATCGATGTAATTCCCGATAAACATGATTACCACTGACATTAAATTGGATATCGCCAAAGTTGCAAAGAAATTTTGTCAGTTTCAAGCTTTCGATCGTAAAACAAATATAGTGATACACGAAAATGAAATTAACGTATTTCTCTTCTCTTTTATTAAACCTATACCTTTGTGTCAAACCCATTCAAATATTGTAGCACGTTACACTGCTTTTTATTCCGTGTCACTCAACTATGTAGAGAAGCTGATAGCTAGCTGAAGTACTGTATTTCTTGTTTGAGTATCTTTCTAACTTAAAAAGTCCACGGGCCTGATCTTCATTTCAGCTCTCTTAGCAGAGTAACTATGACCCTTCCATACATTCCAGTTGATACCGCGCCAAGGGGCCGAAGTGTGCTGACCGTGATAATAGTAGCCGTTTAAGTTGGCACGGACACAGCTTTTGTACCACCAAGCACTACCATATTTTGCGGCACAGTTGGTCGAGGAATCATCATTGTCGCGATCTTTGGTGGAGAATGCCATGTTTCGATGATAGCTCAAAGAATCACCAGCAGTTCCTGAGACAAAAACACCGGAAGTTAGCGTAAGTAGGCACAACTCTAAACTTGCGGCTTCCCCTAAGGCGGGAGTTCAGGAACCATCATTAAGTCCAGAAATTGTGTGTTAGTTTGAGAGAAATTGAGTCTTTTAGTGTATTTCAGTCTCTGATGATAGAAGAGAATGTGATAAACTCTGACACACACACACACACAAAAAAACTCAAAACGAGCAAGCAAACAAAAATAATAAGAAAAAAACCCGAAGAATCTACTATTTTGGGGATCTGGAGCAAATAACAGCTATAGTACCCTTTTCTTTGACACTAGGCTTATTGGTCTGTATAAAAATGAAAGAATCGTTCTAATTCGGTTGTATCTCTATAGAAACTATATTTTGGGTAAAATAGACCAATCCACAGATTGTAAGCACTCACCTGTATATATCCCAAGGCCAAATCTATATTTAGTTCTTTCGTCGGAAACAGAAAACATGTCATATTCAGCGTAAGCTGCCTTTCCTTGTATGTCTTCAAGTTCCACTCGCAGTCTACTCTTTATTTTCGTCAGGCGGTGTATCTTGTCCAGTCCGAGCCAAAATTCCCCATTTAAGTTTCCGAATCCACGTTTGTAATCCGCCCAGCCGCGACTGACGAAATCAACGGAGCCATCGAGTCTCTTCTGGAATACTGTCCAACCGCCACGGGAAGACTTTTGGTCGCAAAACACATCAAACGCACCTAAACCATCGGGGTCGATTGTGTAAACTCCTGTGATTCTTTTGCCGGATTTGTACAGCTCAGCACAGTTTTTCATAGCTGTTTAGAGACATCAAACAACATTAGCTAGTATGATGTATTTCACCATGGATGAGTTGTAAGACGTATATATATATAAACTCACCTAGCGGAGTTGTTTTGTTCTCCGTCAAAGCATCAATTTTTTTCTCTAAATTTGCGAGTTGATTCTCTATTTTGAGAAGGTGTACCTTGATGTCCTTATTTGCTGGCCCAGAATAATAATTGTTGAAGTGAACGCTGTGGCATTTGCTTGATGTCGAAGTATCGGGAGTGGCTTTTGCTGTGTCACTTTCACCGCTTGCTGTTTGAAAACTCAAGCTGCAATAGAGCAGACTAAATACAACCTTGATAAAAATCATTCTCGAATAGGCAAGCGCACTCTGAAACTGCTATCGTAAATCATGCGTTCCAATACCGGAGAATCTGATTTATACGCTTTCTTTTGTGACGACGTCGAAGTTCACATATGACACGCGTCCTGCATACTGCTAGGATCAGCAGATGTCCGAAGGTCTAAGGTTCCTCATGGGGACTCAGAATTTTTTCTTTGTCCCAGGCTCGTGACAAGACGGAAAACATCTTTCTCTATTTCTTCACCGAGCTTAAAACTCACCATCTCTCTTATTCAATTTACAAAACAAAAAAAGACGCTATCGATACTACTGATCGTAGCAGTGTGCAGGACGCATATCATATATAAACTTCGTAATGGGCCCTGCTCACCGTAGAGTCTCTGTGGCTCAGTGGTAGAGCATCGGAGGATGGAGTCCGAAGGTCTGAGGTTCGTTTCCTCATGGGAACTCAGAATTTTTCTTTGTCCCACGCTCGTGATCAAAGAGAAAACATCTTTCTCTATTTCTTTACTGAGCTTAAAACTCACCTCAGGGATCCAAGATCTCACCGACAACTCTACTGCTGAGGATCTATCAGGTAAAACTGAAAACTTTGCATGATGGGGACGGTGGTAAAGGGGTCATCATTTCCATTGTTCACGTCAGATAAGTTAGAAGGGTAAATTTCATGTCTGACGTAATAGCAAAGCAGAAGGAAAATATAAATATAACAGAAATAAGAAAAGAAACAAATTTCCGCCAAAATCGATGTAATCCCAGATAAACATGAGTACTACTGACATTTAATTGGATATAGAAATTTTATCAGTTCGAGCTTTCTATCGTAAAAACAAATACTGATACACGAAAATGAAGTAAACGTGTCATTGTCTCTCTTTTTTTTTATTAACTTATAACTTATATACATCATACACTTTATGTATGGTCCCGAGGGAAACAGTTAGTTTTGTTTTCCATCGAGTCCTGGTGTTTTCTTAGACTTCGTCTCGGGAAATATCAGGACTCTTGAGAAAACAAAACTAACTAGTTTCCCGAGGGAACATATATGCTATATATCTAGACTTTTCCTTAAACAATCGCATGGTAGAAACGTGCCGTTGTATTCGGCGCGCGGGCAACAACTGCGCAATTGTATCCCGGTCGGGATACATTTGAATTTGATTAGGGGCACGTGACCAAGAATAAACTGATCACAGTACTCGTTTTGTTGAGTGAAAGTCTAGGTATGTAACAATGCTTTTTATTCCGCATTACTCAACTATGTAGAGAAGTCGATAAAATACAGCTGATGTAGTGTATTCCTTGTTTGTGTATGTTTCTAGCTTAAAAGTCCGCGGGCCTGATCTTCATTTCAGCTCACTTAGCGGAGTATTTAGGACCCTTCCATTCACCCCAGTTGATACCACGCTAAGGGGCCGAAGTATGCTGACCGTAGTAATGGTAGCCGTTTAAGTTGGCAGTGACACAGCTTTTGTAACACCAGGCACTATTATATTTTGTAGCAAAGTTGCTTGAGTGATCATTATTGTCACCATCTTACAACGATGTAAGACGTATATACAAAATTGACAGAAACTCACCCGGCAGAGTTGTTTTGTTCTCCGTCAAATTAAATCATCGATTTTCTTCTATAAATCTGCGAGTTGATTCTCTATTTTGAGAAGATGTACCTTGATGTCCTTATTTACTGGTCCAGAATAGTAATTGTTGAAGTGAACGTTGTGGCACTTGCTTGTTGTCGAAGTATCGGGAGTTTTGTTGGATGTGACTTGTTTAGATGTACTGTTTACCCCGCTCAGTGTTTGAAAGATCGAGCTGCAATAGGGCAGACAAAAGTATGATATTGAAAAACTTCATCCTCGACCGAGAAAACTTAAGTCCCAGCTGTTGTAGCAATATAATTTTCTTAACTTATAGAAAATCTTATAAATACGCTGTTTTGACCACGTTAGTAAACAAGCAGGCAGATTTTTCGTGTTTGAGTGACTGTCATGCTTCAGGCTAAGTGGGTTATCTATGGTTGAGTGGGTTTATTTAAAAATGTTAGTTTTGTGTTTTGCTCACTTCAAAATATTTTCACTTCCTAAAACGCGAGAATCAATTCAGTTTTAATCAGCGGCAGCTTCGTGACGTAATGTTTACAAAAAAGTTGAAATCGTACACATTCGTTCAATGGGATGCAACTACACGTCAGTTTGTCTGAAAAACCACAAACGGATAAATCGCCACAGTTTCTCTGACTTCTGACGGATTCTATAAAAATTGAAAGTTTGAAGTAAGTAAAACTGTGTAGATGAAAAAAATAAACATAATAGGAAGGTCTAGAATGTATGGTGAGGTTTGGCATTCACAAACAGGGCAAAAAGTATTTCAAAAGTTCAGCGTCTTATGCTAGCGTGAATAGCGGTTCGCTACATTGTCTGAGGTTTCAAGCCCCCTTCCCATTCCCTCTCGACTTTTGCATTTGTCTCGCTAAGGAAACTGCTGGTTTAGGTTGAACATAAGATTCCATGGATGCAGAGAGCTGAATTGCCTTTCAAATATGAACTAGACGCTATCAAAGAGTTAACCCGAGTTTCTTTAGGAATTTGTTGTGAAATAAACTAGCGATTTTACGTGCGAGGTCGTAATAGCTCGTGTGCGTAACCAATTTCTTTTTATAATGGAGCATCTGAGCAAGTTGCGAAGCCGCAACTGGAATAAAAAACAACAAAGGAAAAAACAATTGCTACGCCGCAAGTTACACAGATGCAATACCACGTGCAGTTCAAACCATCTTTTACGACCGCTTGTATAATAGTACAGGCTTAAGCAGTGATTATTTCTGACATATCAAACAACAGTTGCTGCATGAGGGTATCAGTGAGGGAGGCGCAGTTGTGAAACAATTTTAAATTTACCAAAACTGGTTACAAATCTTTGTACAATTA